ATATGTTAGATTGATCCCTTATGATGAGGGATAGACTTATGTGGCTTGTGTGTTAGACCCCGTAATGAGGGTTTGGATGATTCAGATTATTTGAATATACATATTTGTATTTTCATTGATATATATATTGAAATTTAATAATTATCCCACTTGACACCTCACGAGCATATGTTAGTATATATGAGTTGGCAAGTTGATTACTAAGGCGTTTTTTTCACCTCGTGGTTTTTACTATCTTCAGGTGATAGTTCAGGTCGTGGCCCATTAAGGAAGGCTCCAGAGCCATAGTGTGCTGTTATAGCTTGTATAGCCTCCCTGCTTTTGTTTTATGTGCTGACTTATAATATATTGCCATATAGGACTCATCTACTCTAATATTGTAAATTAATACTTTGAATTTCTACTATCTAGTATGATCGGGCCACTAGAAGGCTAAAGACACCTCAAACTCTGCATGTGACACTCTTTTGAAAGTGTTGACTTTTGACTAATAGGCTCCATAGCTTATATTAAAAATAATTTATCAGTTCGTATATTGGAAAATATAAGTTTAGTTTGGGCTGATGGTTGAATGATATTTCTGGACTTTGAAAGTCCAAGGCCCAAGTTAACGATCGATGTTGCTTGTATTATAAGTTTATTTTTCTTAACCATGATAGCGATTTTAAAATTTTAAGGTTTTTTCTTTTCTATCATGGTTAATCTTTCAAATAAATTATTTGATTTAATCTAAATGGGTTTTAAAAGAACAGTCGTCATAGTTGACACTTGGCATAGCATTAATGTTGGTAGTTAAGATATTTTGGCTATTAAGAGAGCAATTCCTCCCCTATTTTCATACCTAATGTTCGGCCAAGAGAAGAAGAGAGTGAAAAAGAGAGAGCTTGAAGTGGAAACAAGGAGAAAGCAACCATCTTGGATCAAGTAAGCTTGGAGTTAATGTTAGTAGTTAATTCTATGTTGTTTCTTATTTGATTCTCTTGAGTTTGATAGTCAAAAATTCTGCTTTTTCCTCTTTTGGTTGCTGGTCAAAATGGACAATGGTTAGGGGAGGGGGTTTTTGTTGTTAAACCTACTTGGAATACCTTAAATCATGGTGGTTTCAAGTCATTTAGTACTGTTTTTGAAAAGATTTCATAGTTGAACTTGAAGGGTATGATTTGGCCACTTCAAGAACCATGACCTACGATAAGATTTTCATTGTTTTGATGCTTCCATTGTATTCAAAATGGAAAATAGTGTAGGATAAACCTAAAGAATAAGTGTTGGAAGCATTAGAATCAAAGTTATGTTTTTTGAAAAAATCTAGACCCTATTCGGCCAACCTTGGTTCTTGAGGAAGGGAACTTCTTTTCTTAAATCCAAGTTCATATTTGGATTCTACATGAAAAATCATATAGGGTTGAACCAAGAAAGTATTTTTAGGGTTTAAAGAAACAAAGCTCCAAAAATCTAAGTTTAAGGGGTTAACGGTTACTTGATGATTGCCTTTGCTTTTGTATGGTTTGAATTGTAATATTGCTAGCCCTTTTATGATTTGTGATGTTAGGGTTTGTTAATTTTAGGGAAAAGGAAGAAGATCAAGCAATCAAAGAGCTTTTGGTTCAAGGTAGTGGGATTTAATTAGCCACTAATGTTAACTTTGTATTGTTGTTCATGGCATGAATGCTTGCTATTGCATGGTTGAAGTATGATTTTGTGATATGGTTGCTCCTTACATTTTGTTGCCTTGGCTATTTCATATTGAGGTTGCCTAACATGAGAAGACTGGTTCTCCTACGATAGCTAATGTGAAAATGCTTTAATAATGATGCATATTAATGTTTTGGTTGATTGATCTTGCTATTGAGATTTCATTAAAATCTCACTCTCCCAAATTAATCCAACACTTTTAGGGCTTGAATCATCAAAACAGAAGCTGCAAATTCAATGGTAAATATGGTGGTGAACCATGAGGAAACAATTATATTTTGGTTATGTATAAGTATGCATATTTGGTGCTGTAACCATAACTGAACTGTCAACTTGGAGCTATGTTTTGGTTGAGTTCCCGATCAAATTTCTTCACAAAATTTGGTATATTCAAATATCATGTCATGAGCTTCAAATCAATAGGTAGGACATTAAAAATGGATAACTGTGCGATTTTTAATGATTTTTCAAAGTTAATGTTCAAATTTTAAAAAAAGGTTTTTTACCAAAATGATAGAGTTGACTTTCACAAAAATCTGGCACTTTCTCATAAGAAATTAATTTCCAAGATTATTTTTTCTTCAAATAGCATTCAAAGAGATTTTCACAGAATTTCGAACCACTCTATTTTGATTTTTCTACATTAAGTTACGAATTTTTGAATTTGGACTAGAAATCTGGGAATTTTCAATTGAACAGTGAATTTTTGAAAATCAGCATTTTTTTGGGAATTTTTAAGCCAAGACCATCCAATGTGGTCTAAAATGACACTAAATCAATTTGATGTTAGACTAAAAGTAAGGTGTAACAACAAAAGTCCCCTACTAGTAAAGAAAGACTTCAAAGGGTATGACAACCTTTTTAGAGAATTTGTAGAGCTGGGCAGACATATCGATTAGACCCAGAATCAGTATGCTACCATTTATCTAGATTACTTCTTTTACTTGAGATTGTTACACAAAGAATTACCAAAGGAGGATTCAGGTATAGATGATACCCTTTAGTGCTAGGTTCTGATGGATACACTACTAACTACTTGGGTTTGGCAGGAAGAGCTTCGGAAGATCTACAATTACTCTATGTCCTGCACTTTTGACCAGTTACTGGACAATTTAGAGATCTTTATTTATACTTTGTTTCCTTTCTCTGCTTCTCTAATGTGACTATAGATGACTATATCATATTGTTATGATGGGCTCTTATTAGAACTTGGACAAATATTTTGCTAACAGTGCTGTGTATATATGCAAATAGAAAGTTAATATAAAGTATCTTTTATGTAAAGTGATAATTTTGTTCCTCTTATAGTTAAGAAGAAACAACAAAATGGTAAGAACAAGATGAGAATCTAGAATAAGGGGAGGATTATCAAGACCCCCTGTTGACCCAATAGAAAGGATCATGGAGAGGTTAGAAGACAACAGAGAACTATGCAAGAAATACAAGCAATTCAAGCTAGACAAGAATAGGAAAGAGACGCTACTATAGCTATAGCAGTAGCGGCAGCACTAGCATAGTTACAACTGAAGGGAATTGAAAGACGCGCAATGGAAAATAACTTTAAAATTTCCAATCCCTTGCCCGGATCTACCGATTGTGTTTAAGTCAAGTAGTAAGAAGTATTACCTTCGATGTTCAATTTCTTGGTGGCTCGGCGATTCCGCCATTCAGGATGCCTCTGCTCGCCTCTTTTATCGCTCGAAGTCGACAACTCAGATCGACTTCCTCTACCAGTATCCACACGAACAGTGTTCCAATCACGAACGACGTACTAGTGCCTCTTGTCCTTCTAGGGTTTTTTTCAAAGAATCCGTCCTCCCTTCTCTATTTACTGGTCATCTCTTATCTGCAAGCTTTTGCACTCTCACACCCAAAACCCTAGCTCATAATATCAAATATATAGGATGCTATAGGTATTATGAAGGATATTTGATTTCAAAATTAATCCTAAATTAATTCCGAAATTAATACAATATCAAATATTGTGTAATCAAATAAGAAAACAATTAAATAAATATGGTTTATATTAAATCCGTCCCACAGATTTAATTCACCTATTTATTTAATTCAAAATAAAGATATGACGGAATTATATTTGATTTATTCTCATAAATCAAATTTAAGATATCATATCATATCTTATCAATTTAAAATTGATATATAGATTTAATTTATCCTTATAAATTAAATCTAATAATTAATATCTCTTATATTTATATAATATTTATATATATATGAATTTATATATATATGTCCATCCTATATTATTCATTGAATATGGATATATCTTAGATTCAATGAATTTGGACAGTGGGCCATTAACTATAATGACTCACAAGTCGTAAGCGATCACTAGCAAGACATCACGACTACCCAAATCATATGAGGATTGTTGAATGATGTAACCTTTCATACAACCATATCACGTCCCTTTTTGTCACACGACATTTTGTGATATAAGGTACGGATACGGATTGGCTAGAAACAAGTTAGGAAACTAGACGAACGATCGAAGGTAGGACCTTAAGAGAACCTGTCTCTTACAACCCTAGCCATGGAGACACCACAAGGATAATCAGTCCTTGATACAGTCGAGTATTCCCATGAGAATACGAGGCGGCAAGCAAAGCTCACTCAAGAGAAATAAAATTCTCTAAAATTCATTCATTCAAATCTGATCCCCAATTATAAAAAACGTAGCCTTATATAGGTAGCAAAAGAACAATCTAGAATCAAAAAACCCTAGGTCATAAATGCCATAAATGTGCCTTAATGATAATTGACTATCTTGGTTGGCACCAATTAAGGCTAAAGGAAATATGAAATTACCTTTTCTTGAAGAAAAAGGCTGCTACCTAAAAATAGGAAACTAACCTAAAATATTCTTATGCAATCTTTGACCAAAAGGCCTTATTTAATGCAATTAAAAATGGAAACTTAAAAAAATAAAATTAAACCATAACTAATACATAAAGATGCCTTCTTGATGCTTCTTGAATATTCTTGGACGTCACTTATGCTCCTCCTCCAAGGCACATGCTTGTCACATGGTATTTTGAGTGAATTCTTCAATCTGGACTACACATTGGCCTTGTACATCATCTTGTTTGGCTTCTAGCAATGTAATCACCATGTTTGGTCCCTTGATGGGCTGATTGAGGGATGCTTCTTCCAAATAAATGGGCTCTAACTCTTTAAGACCTTTTATCAAACAATTTAGTGCCTCTTTCATAGATTTGGTCCTTGCTCTTGTCATTGGGCCTACAATGCCTTGTAATAGGTCTTTTAGAATATTGGACTTCCATCTTTTAGCTTAGGCTCCACGCTTGTGTTTTGGTCTTCCTTTGATGCTTGATCACGCCATACTCCTCTATCATTCCCTCCCTGCTCAAAAGGACTCGTCCTCGAATCTACAGCATCAAAGAGAGATAAATCAGTCACATTAAATGTAGCACTTACATTACTGTAGGAGCTAGGCAAATCTATTTTATAGGCATTATCATTGATTCGCTCCAAGACTTGGAAAGGGCCATCTCCTCTTGGCTGCAACTTAGACTTTTGTTGTTCTAGAAACCTCTCCTTTCGCAAGTATACCCAAACCCAGTCTCCAGGCTCAAAGACAACCTCCCTACGACCTTTGTTAGCTTGCTTTGTATATTGCTCATTCTTTCTCTCGATGTTGGCCCTCGCCTTAGAATGTAATTCCTGCACAAACTCAGCCTTTTTCTTGCCATCAAGGTTAGCTCATTCACTAGAAGGCAAAGGCAGAATATCCAAAGGAGATAGAGGATTAAAGCCATAAACAATCTCAAATGGAGAGAAAGAAGTAGAAGAGTGAATAGCCCTGTTATACGCAAATTCAATATGAGGCAAGCAGTTAACCCAATTCTTCAAGTTCTTTTGAATTATTGCACGTAACAAGGTAGTAAGTGTTCTATTGACGACCTCAGTTTGCCCATCCGTTTGGGGATGTGCCACAGTAGAAAACAGCAACTTAGTTCCAAGCTTACTCCACAAGGTCCTCCAAAAATGGCTAAGAAACTTTACATCCCTATCACTCACAATGGTTTTAGGCAATCCATGCAATCTAACAATTTCTTTGAAGAACAAGTCAGCAATATGCACTGCATCATTTGTTTTAGAACAAGCAATAAAATGAGCCATTTTACTAAATCTATCCACTACAACAAAGATACTATATTTCCCAGATTGAGACCTAGGCAAGCCCAACACAAAATCCATAGAAATATCTACTCAAGGTTGGGAAGGCACAGGTAGAGGGGAATATAAACCCTGAGGTTGAACCTTAGACTTTACATGCCTACATGTCACACATTTAGCACAAACAGACACAACATCTTTGCGCATACCAGGCCAATAAAAGTGTTCATGCAAAAGAGCTAATGTTTTGTCAACACCAAAGTGACCCATCAAACCACCACCATGAGTTTCTTTTACAAGCAGCTCACGCATAGAGCAATTGGGAATGCACAATTTATCTTTCTTAAAAAGAAACCTATCAGATCTATAAAAGTCATTCACCCCATGCTTTTCACAAGAAAGCCAAATTTTGGAAAAATCACAATCAGAGTCATACAACCCTTTCAATAATTCAAATCCAAGTAATCTAGCATGAAGAGAAGTGATAAGAGAATACCTCCTAGAAAGAGCATCATCAACAACATTCTCTTTACCTTGCTTATGCTTGATCACATAAGGAAACGTCTCTATGAATTCCAACCAGTGAGCATGCCTCTTGTTAAGCTTACCTTGAGACTTTAGAAACTTCAAACTTTCATGATCAGAGTGAATAATGAACTCCTTGGGCCATAAATAATGCTGCCATGTTTCTAAAGTTCGTTTTAAAGCATAGAGTTCCTTGTCATAAGTAGAGTAATTCAAAGGAGCTCCACTTAATTTCTCACTGAAGTAGGCAATAGGCCTAGACTCTTGCATTAGAACAGCACCAATACCAATCCCAGAAGCATCACATTCAACTTCAAAAACTTTATTAAAATCAGGTAAACACAAAAGTGGTGCAGTGGTTAATTTCTCTTTCAAGGTATTAAAAGCTGTTTCTTGTGTTTCACCCCATTTAAATGTCACATGCTTCTTAACAAGCTCACTTAGAGGTGCAGCAATAGTTGAAAAATCTTTGACAAACCTCCTATAGAAACTTGCTAGTCCATGAAAACTCCTGACTTCATTGGCATTCTTTGGGGTTGGCCAATCTCTTATAGCTTTCACCTTTTCCTCATCCACATGGATCCCTTGAGCACCTACAACAAAACCAAGAAACACAACAAAATCCATGCAAAAGGAGCATTTCTGAAAATTAGCATATAAGCTATTCTCCCTAAGAGTTTGAAACACCTCATGCAAGTGAATAACATGGTCATCTATTGTTCTGCTATAGATAAGAATATTATCGAAGTAGACAACCACAAACTTCCCAATAAATGAACGAAAAATGATTCATCAAGCTCATGAAAGTGCTAGGTGCATTAGTTAACCCAAAAGGCATAACTAACCATTCATACAATCCAAATTTAGTTTTAAATGCTGTTTTCCATTCATCTCCCTCTTTCATGTGAATTTGATGATAACCACTCCTCAGGTCAATTTTAGAGAATAAAGTAGCACCATGCAACTCATCCAACATGTCATCTAATCTAGGAATGCGGTAGCGATACTTAACTGCTACTTTGTTGATGGCTCTACAATGCACATTCGCCATGAACCATCTTTCTTGGGCACTAGAAGTACTGGAACAGCACATGGGCTCAAACTTTCCCTTACAAAGCCTTTCCTCATGAGTTCATCAACTTGGCGTTGAATCTCTTTAGTTTCTTCGGGATTGGCTCTATAAGCTGGTCTATTAGGTATAGAAGCTCCAGGGATGAAATCAATCCTATGCTCAATTCCTCTTAAGAGAGGAAGCTCATCGGGAACTTCATCAGGGAATAGGTCACCAAATTTCTACAACAAAGCCACAACACTAGAAGGCAAAGAGGGGTTAAGTTGGTTAGTAGAACAATAAGCATCCTTGCACACAAGCACCAAGACTCGCTCACTTACTAATGCTCTCTTAACCTCACTTTTTCCAGCAAATAGACTCTCTTTCTTTTGTTCATTTTTCTCATATTCATTCCTTTTCTTTTCTTTTTTCTGTACTCTCTCTTTTTCACTCCACTCACTTATTTTTTTGCATTCTTTCTCAATCCTCACTTGGTCATCATAAGCTTCTTTAGGCCTAAGAGGCTTCAATACAATGATTTTTCCATTGAAAGGTACAGAATAACAATTTTTGTAACCATCATGGTGAGCTCTACTATCAAACTGCCATGGTCTTCCAAGCAAGAGATGTCCAGCAAGCATTGGGACTACATCACATAAAACTTCAGCATGGTAGTTGCCAACAGAAAAAGAAACCAAAACTTGCTTAGTGACCTTAGCTTCAGCACTATCATTCAACCATTGCAATTTATAAGGCTTAGGATGCTTCATAGTAGGTAAATCCAACTTTTCAACAAGTAAGGTACTAGCAACATTGGTAACACTACCACTATCAATAACCATGCTACATACCTTATTCTTTATAAAGCACCTAGTGTGGAAGATGAGCTCTCGCTGCTCTTGCTCTTTATCTTCCTTTGGTTGCATGTTTAGGGCTCTTCTAGCCACTAATGCTTCTCCCTTAACAGGTTCAGCTTCATCAATCTTCAATTCAGGATCAGTCACCAAAGAAGGCATGTCATCATCACTTTCATCGCTAGAATGTACACTGTCATACTCACCATTATCTTTGAGAATCATGGCCCTCTTATTGGGACATTGGGAAGCAATATGCCCTTTTCCATGACATCTAAAACATTGAAGAGAAGAGGTTCTATCAATAGAAGAAGTTTTAGAGTCAAGTTTCTTACCGCCATCAATCTTGGGCTTGGATTCCTCTTTGGCTTTTGGTGTGAATTTTGCAACATCTTTAGCCTTAGAATCCTTCCATTTGGATGCTGATCTAGAGTCCCTCCAATCATGAGATGAGGATTTGGAGTGTTCTTCTTTATACCGCTTCTCAACTTTGATGGCTTTATGCACTAGCTCTTCTTTATCAATAAAAGTGTACATCTCAACTTTGTCTCTAATTTCAGGCCTTAACCCATCAATGATTCTGGTCATGCTTGCTTCTTCTCCTTCTTGTACTCCAGCTCACATTTTAAGAAGGTCAAGTTCATGCACATATTCATCTACAGTCATAGAGCCTTGGCCAAACAGTCGTAACTTTCTATTTAGCTCTCGATAGTAGTAACTAGGGACATACTTGTTGCACATGAGTTTCTTTAGCTTTGACCATGTATGAGGTGGTCCTTTGCCCTTAAGGCGCCTTTTAAGCTGTAAATCTTCCCACCAAACAATAGCATAGTCAGAAAATTGATATGAAGCAATTTTTACCTTCTTTTCTTCTGGCCAGTCATTCATTCTGAAGATTTGCTCAAACTTCATCTCCCAATCAAGGTATGCATCTGGATTTATATTACCCTTGAAGGTAGGGTACTTGATCTTTGGGTCATAGGTGTCCAAATCATGTTTTTTCAGGTCCGCTCCTATTCTTTGAGGATGAAGAACCAGATCTAATCACCTCCTCGTCACCACTACTTGCTTTGGATGCTTTTAGCTCCGCTAGCTCCAACTTGAGTTTGAGATATTCATCTCTCATGGCTCTCATGAATAGCTTAGGATCTGTGTTGAATTCTTCCATATTGGCTTCTTTGTCACTCATCTTGAAATTGAAACGTTAGTGTGATCAAAGAGAAATGAAATAGTAAGAAGGGACCTTACCACTCTACTCGCGTGTTTCACTCAAGAAATTGTAGTGTCACTCGTGTTTAACTCAAATCTGGCTTTTAAATTGATGTAATAACACTCTCGCCTTTTACCACTCAAACTTGCCTCCTATAGTATTCTTGATTGAAACTCACAAAATCAAGAGACAATGTTAGTAAATGGTAATCTCCACAACCAGAATTGTAAGAACCAGAAAATATAAGGGATAAGAAAGGAATATGTGATAAAAGAAGAAGGATAGGTACCAAAAAAAAATGAAAAGGAAGGAAAAGAGGAGGGAAAAAAACGTAAAAAGGAAAAAAAAAGAAAGGAGAATATGGAAAGCTATGAATTAGAAAAGAAAGGGAAAAAAAAAGGAAGAAAACATTTAGGAAAGGTGCTACCTTGAAAATAATTTAGGAAATTGGGCACCTTGCAAGAAAAGCAAATTAAGTTAGGAAGGTGAGATATGGAAGGAAGGAAGCAAATAGGAAACTTGAAGGAAAAGGAAAGAAACTCAAATTAAGCAATACGGAAAAAAAAAGGAAAGGAAAACAAAAATATAGGAAACAAGAAGAAATTAGGAAACATGCAAAGAGAGAAAATAAGAACTCTTACCACCCAAGTTTAACGATTTAGGAAACTAGTTGTGACTTGTAATGGAAGCTCTTCTCAATTTTAGGAAACTCATCTTTAACATTGCAATTCTCAAATCTACAGCTTCTCCTTCTTTTTTTTTTTTTGAAATTTCGGATTTTTTTTTCTTTTTTTTTTAGGACTCCTTTTTTTTCACAACACAACACTTTTGTTTTGCTTTTTTTTTAGTGCATGAATTTTTTTCTTTTTTTTTTTTTTTTGCTGCTCAAAGGAACACAGAAAGTCACAAAAAAAAACACAAATAGGAGGTGGAAAGGCAAAGAAACAAATTGATGGAAGCAAGGGACAAAGAATGAATGATAGAATTAAGAAGATGAAACAAGAAAACAGAAATAATAGATAAAAGGATAGAACTTGAATTCTAGCAAACCTTAGCTCTGATGCCAAATGATATAAGGTACGGATACGGATCGGCTAGAAACAAGTTAGGAAACTAGACAAACGATCGAAGGTAGGACCTTAAGAGAACCTGTCTCTTACAACCCTAGCCATGGAGACACCACAAGGATGATCAGTCCTTGATACAGTCGAGTATTCCCACAAGAATACGAGGCGGCAAGCAAAGCTCACTCAAGAGAAATAAAATTCTCCAAAATTCATTCATTCAAATCTGATCCCCAATTACAAAAAACGTAGCCTTATATAGGCAACAAAAGAACAATCTAGAATAAAAAACCCTAGGTCATAAATGCCATAAATGTGCCTTAATGATGATTGACTATCTTGGTTGGCACCAATTAAGGCTAAAGGAAATAGGAAATTACCTTTTCTTGAAGAAAAAGGCTGCTACCTAAAAATAGGAAACTAACCTAAAATATTCTTATGCAATCTTTGACCGAAAGGCCTTATTTAATGCAATTAAAAATGAAAACTTAAAAAAACGAAATTAAACCATAACTAATACATAAAGATGCCTTCTTGATGCTTCTTGAATATTCTTGGACTTCACTTATGCTCCTCCTCCAAGGCACATGCTTGTCACATGGTATTTTGAGTGAATTCTTCAATCTGGACTACACATGGGCCTTGTACATCATCTTGTTTGGCTTCTAGCAATGTAATCACCATGTTTGGTCCCTTGATGGGCTGATTGAGGGATGCTTCTTCCAAATAAATGGGCTTTAACTCTTTAAGATCTTTTATCAAACAATTTAGTGCCTCTTTCATAGATTTGGTCCTTGCTCTTGTCATTGGGCCTACAATGCCTTGTTATGGGTCTTTTAGAATATTGGACTTCCATCTTTTAGCTTGGGCTCCATGCTCCATGTTTTGGTCTTCCTTTGATGCTTGATCACGCCATGCTCCTCTATCATTTTGGTCATGGATGAGGCATGGAGAACGTCATCCTCCTATTCATGACCGTTACTTTCTCGATCCCTAAGTAGTCTGAGTATAGAAATGGAACTACCTTTCCATTATAGTATGGCCATACATTTCTCAGACCCACTCATCGAGGGGCCCACTAATATCTCTTTATGAATGTGAGGGACAAATTCCATCTTGACCATTCACATTCCTCCGTATAAAAAACCACTAAGCCTGAACATAGTCTTTATGATCACTTGGTCAAAAGTGACTTTTAACTAGGTCAAAGCTGAGCGTTTCTCATGTAGGAATCCATGATGATCTCAGGTCAAAGGGCACAGTGACATGGTTTGTATATGAGAGAATCTTATGACTTAACCCATGCAACTCTCTCATAGTGGGTTGGTCTAACACCTTGTACTCTTACATATGCCTATGACTTTGATTTATATCTCTATATATCTTCAAAGTCATACTGGTCTTATTTCATCTCTGCTCCCACATAGATGACCGACCAGGGACATTTAGGATAAATCATGAGTTATCCAAGGATAGTCATCACAGTAAACATACAAATAATGTGATAACATAATTAAGAAATCCATAAATCAACAATGTTCATAACACAATGATTGGCCCCTAGGGCACAATTTCCAACATCAACAACCTAAACAAGGTATAGTTGGGACAACCTAAACTGCTCAACAACCACACCAGCAACCCCAGGAAACAGCTCCTATAAGACTGCAACCTACTGTGGAACCTGATATACTACAGCAGTGGATTGTCAGATTTGAGAAACATTACCCTTTAACTTTTGAGGGGACATTTTATAAGTATGGCTGATCACCCAAGAGGGGGATGAATTGGGTGTTGATTAAAACCAAAACCCTTTTCATAATATAATGAAATTCATAATAAATTTTGAGTATAAAAACAATGAATTGACATAAGCATAATCATAGTAGTAAAATGGTTTAGCTGGAAATATAAAGAGGTAAGGGAAGAGAAGATGCAAACGGTGATTTATCCTGGTTTGGTTCTCACTGACCTACATTCAGTTCCCAGGCTCCCCCTAAGATTTTCAATCAATCCACTATCTCCCTTAAGTTAACACTGGTACTTGAGAACCACTACAACCACAAGTTTGATCTGGACACTTGTGACGCCACTTACAATCCTTAGACTAACCAGTTTATTCAACAACAACCTCACACTAAGCTAAATACTCCCCCTTACACACTGTAACGATACAATCTGATAATGATAATGAAGATTGAATATTTCATCTCTCAAAGAAGTGATAGATGAATCTTAAGCACGTTTGGGAAACTCTCCTCTTTATCTTAGGAATATATGTGTTACAGTCTTTGAAGTACACAGAAAGGGAGTTTTCTCTCAGAGCTCTAAATAAGAATATGTTGATTTGTCATTTTAGCATTTGATGTTATAAGCTCAGACTCTTCTCCTTTTTCTTGTTTTGAATGCTCTTCTATTTATAGATGATGTTGGGTACTTGACCGTTGAGCATTTTCTTCCCGTTTGGCTTGAAGAATATGACCGTTGAAACTAGCTATTGGAAGCTTCTGACAAAAGTTGATTCTTCACATCATAAATTTGTTGTGGCTCTTTACCTAAAATAATCTTCCTCAAATCAAGTGATAAGTATATGATAATCTTAGAAACAATAAGTTGAAAAACATAAAATCAATCATCAGATATTCGGATATATAGAAAGTAAGATGAACTTACTTGATCAATAATCCTTTGATCGATTATATTATCGACTAATTACAAGAGAAATAAACTTAACAGATGTATGCATTTATCGAGTAATATATGGATTAACAGATGATCGAACATGTATTATACAAGGATAATCTTTTTCAAGTTATGTTTGCATTTATATCCTTTCAATAGAGAGTTGTGTGCAAAAGAAAGGCTGAGAAAAGCTTAAAGATAAAAAGATGAAAGATTTTGAAGAACATCGTGAATAGCTGTTGTGAAATAAACCAATTCACTGATTGAAAAGGTGATAAAAAACTGTTTGATCGATCAGGTTATCGATAGAGCTAAGTATGAGAGAAATAGATTTTCAAAGAGTGTTGATCGAATATATTATTGATAAACAGATGATAGAAAATTTGATCGATAAAATGAAGTTTAACAAAGATATTCATAAAGAGCACAAATCCTAAGATGATCGAGTAAGTGATCGATTAAAGATTAATCGATTAAGTGATCGATAAAATATCATTAAAATCTCTTTTTAAAAAAGACCAGGAAAGACTTTAATCGATCAAGTTATGTGAAAACAAAAGATTCAGAGATTTGAATGATCGATCTTTTTATCGATAAATGAGTGATCGATCAGGTGATCTGAAAATGGCTTAAAACAAGCAAGTGCAGTGAAGGTGATGATGATCGATCATTTAATCAAAAAACAATTGATCTATCAATTGACCGATTAAAGACCTTGAAAGAAAATTTTGACAGAATACATTATCAATTAATTAGAAGTAAATTACCATACAATGTTTGAACAAGTTATCAATAAAATAATAATCGATAAATTGATTGATAACAAGCGAACTGTTCAATAGAGTAAATAAGTCAAGGAAGCTTACTAGATTATCTAAGTCCTGATCGATCATGACTTGATCGATTAGTGATCGATATTCCTATTGTTACACAAAATGAAGTTTATTCCTTTTTCT